TGAGTGTTTGGCTAGATCAGCGCATCTATCATTTACTTATATAAGGAAATTAACATTCAGCCAATGTTCATAAATTGAACAACACTATCATTCAGGAGGATATTATCTCTAAGTTATCGTTAATAAGAAGGTACATCTGAAACCTAAAATGTTGAATCGAGCATACGTTCCTCTTCTTATCTTCCTATCTAATTAGTGGATATTGGTGACAATTCTGGCATACTCGTCTCGATCTTGTGTGGCTCTAAAGAGTGCATGGGCATCGAGATTTGTCCAATCCCTTATGTTTTTAAGCCATGAGTATTTCTTTCTTCCGACGCCACGTTTTCCTTGTATCTTTCCTTCCATAATAAGCTTAAAGAACTGGTACTTGGAATTTCGAAACATATGACCCAGATAAGCAGTTTTTCTTCTTTTTATTATTGACAGCAATTCTCGTTCGCTGCCCATTCGATTTAATACTTCGAAATTTGTTGATCTGTCCAGGGAATTTTAAGTAGTCTTCTAAATACCCACATTTCAAAGGCCTCCAATCGATTCATCACATTGGCCTTTATGGTGCAGGTTCTACACCATATAGCAGTATGGAGTAAATGTAACAGACTAGAGACAAAGCTGGATTTTTACCAACCTCGGGAACAAGCCGGTTTCCGCCCTAATTACGGCACAAACGATCACCTGTAGTGCTTAAAAACCCTAATGAAAAAACTAACGAATATAACCGTCCCTTGGCATTGATATTTGTAGACTTTTGATAAGACTTTTGATTTTGATAAAAAGGCGTTTGATACAATGAAACTACTGTCCATCTTAAGAGCACTACAAGATTGCAGGGTCGACCACAGATATTGTAATATAGTTAAAAATATATATGAAAATGTTACAACAACCATAAGTCTACATTCTGCAACTAATAAAATAAAGATAAAAAGAGGAGTCAGGCTAGGTGATACCATGTCACCAAAGCTGTTCATTACCGTTCTTGAGTATGCATTTAGAAGACTAACATGGCAACAGAAAGGAATATCCATCGATGGAGAAAGATTAAACCATCTACGTTTTGCGGACGATATCGTGCTTCTGTCAAATAATCTGGAAGAGATCAAAGACATGCTCTAAGAACTGAATGACATACTACAAGAAACTGGGCTGGAGATAAATTTCGATAAAATCAAAATGATGACTAATATGGTTCTCAGCGAAGAGATACAGATCAATAACAACAAGGTAGAATTAGTCAATAAATACACATACTTGGGTCATGAAATTAGAATAACCAGAGACAACCAAACCTGCGAGCTGAATAGACGAATCACGTTGGGATGGGCGGCATATGGAAGGATGAGAGACATTTTTAAAACAAATATCCCAATTCACCTGAAAAGGAAGGCATTTAATCAATGCATCTTACCAGTCTTGACCTACGGAGCAGAGACCCTAACTTTAACGAAAGCTACTGCTGAAAAACTGAGGGTAACACAAAGGCGAATGGAGAGATCAATGCTGGGCCTGACCTTGAAAGATCGCGTGTAAAATGAGGAGATACGCCGGCGAACTGGCGTAGACGATATTATACTGCAAATCAATAAACAAAAGTGGATGTGGGCTGAACATGTTGCTAGAATGGAAGACGGAAGATGAGATTATTGGAGTGGAGACCAAGAGCCGACAAGCGAAGTCGAGGCAGATCACCCACCCGATGGACCGACGACCTAAGGAGAATAGAAACAAACTGGATTGCAGCAGCTAGAGATAGAGAGAACTGGAGACGTTTGGAGGAGGCCTATATCCAACATTCGATGTGAAAATGGGGCTGGATGATGATGATGATAAGTAAATGTAACATTTTACAAAGCGATATCGAAGTGTTAAGTTAAGGTTGCTGTTGTTTAGCAAGGTTCTCATATTAGTAAATGCTGTTCTGGCTTGCTCAATCCTGATGCGTATCTCTATGTCTGGATCTAGATCTTCAGTTATCCAACTACCAAGATATCTGACCTTGGGGACCTTTTGGATGTTCTTATTGTTTAATCTTATATTTAATTGCATATTTCGTGTTCTAATAACCACCATTACCTTCGTTTTGTCTATATTAATCTTCAAGCCCAGTCTCTCCTTCAGTGTTTATTCTATATACGTTCCGGGAACAATCTAACTAATTCTGAATTATTAACACAATCGAACGCTTTCTGGTAATCTATAAAGCATAGAAAGACATCTTTTAGCTGATCTCTGCATTTCTGAAGTAGGACAGTTGTTAAGCTATAAAGTGCTTCTTTTGTTCCAAATCCTTGTCTGAAACCGAACTGTGTGGCTAACTGTGTGGCTAATGTCTCTTTTACATATGTTGTTAATTCTTGTGTGAATTACCTTTAAGCAGAGTTTTAGGACCTGGATCATTAAGATGATCATTCGGAATTGGTCGTGACTATTAGCGTTTGGCTTTTTTGGGATTGATATAAAGATTGATTGAAGCAAGTCCTGTGGTATTTGACTGGACCCATAAATGTCATTAAAAAGATCTACCAAGGCGTCTATATTGTCTTCACTCAATATTATTAGAACCTCTATGTATATGTTGTCTGATTTGTCAAAACTACAACAAAAAATGCACATTGAAGATGATTCACATAAAAAAAATCAACATTCTATCAATATTAGGACTGATATTAAAGACTTTTTAAATAAAAATAAACGATTGGCAGATATGTTAGACTCTGAATCACACATATTATAAAACACCTGCCATATGTTATATAGGGTCAGATACCATTTCACAGGTACAATCAGACTTATCAGGTACAACAGACCGGCAAAACCAGGAATTAAAAAAGTTTCAATTCAAAAATTCACACTAAATAAAAATAGTGATCATCCAAATTATGATCCAGATTCAACGGTAAGCGTAGTTTTTTAAGTGTGGCTTATCATATTCTACCTTTTAAATATTTTAATAACTATTTTACGACAACATTTTTCGTTTTTATTGTGCCAATTTCTAAAAATAATAAGAATGGCAAAAACCATTATTATAATAAGTTATTATTATGATTTTTACTTATGTTTGTAGTACATTTTTCTTTGTTAACCTTATCGTGTAGTGCGGCTTGTCATTATATAGCATGTTGAAAAGAATCTTTTTTTTAAGACGATTTGGAAAATGTTTCGGGTGAGAACATTTCCAAAGGCAATAGTCTAGAAAACGTAATAGCAAAAGCAAAAAAATTATCCCGTTGGCGAAAACGAAAATCATCTAAATACAAAAGAAACCAAAGACTAGTAAAATGTAATAAGGAACAGGAATATTATAGTAAAAGTACAAACAAAGTAATGGGAGCTCGAGAAATTGGACTAACTTGCCTTTGTTCAAGGCATTGTGCAACAAAACAACGAAAATCGAGAAATTATTTTTACACAATTCTGGAATCCTAGGTCCTTTGATATTCAAAATTCATACCTATTTGGATGAATTAAAATTTGTAATAAAAAACGACATTATCTGAAAAAAACTAAAAGGACAGAGTCTGGAAGAAAACACAGTGTGAAATACTATGTCACTGTCAATACAGAAACCATCAAAATATGTAAATCCGAATTTATGTCCGTTCATGGTCTTCACCGATCTAGAGGTAGAATAAATAATATTGTATCGCAATTTGCTTCACGTACTCCTGTGCCCAAATGGATAATCTTGGAAAACATAATAATAAACCAAACAGAATAGGTGATGAAGTTATTCAGTATGATAAAGACCGTATAAACCTTATTCCTAAGTATCGAGAGTCACTACAGTGAACGTAAGGGTATACCATCTGTTTCTGCATCGATATATAGGGACATATTTTGTACCGATTTTAATATAAATATGTTTTAAGCTGCCAAAATACGACACCCGCAAGATATGTCATGAAACGCTGATTAAAATACAAGCAGGAAAACTTCAAAATAATGACGAATTAACAGCTTCTTTGGCGACAAATTTAAATGTTCACAAAACACGGGCAAAAGTAATGCAGCACTTGCTAAAAACGAAAACTAGCGATGCCAAAACCAAAGATAAAAAATTAGTTGTAACATTTTATTTACAATAGGACCTGTCAGTACTGTGACTGACAAAAGGAAATTTAAAAAATTACCCACTACCTCCTGTTTAGCGGCCACCCGCACTTACCATCAAATCTGAACTTTGCTCTCAAAGAAAAACACCATCATAAATATGCTCCATTGATATATTCCCCATCAGACTTGTATGATATTATTAAAAAAACTGACGTCGGCAACAAACTTGATTTTCAGGGGTGTTTTCATTTATGTTCGACATTAATATTCCCAATGCTTGTTTTGTTAAGAACGCTGTTAATGGTGCATACCAGGAATTTAATTTATTAACAAAAGAGGTCGGCACTGCTAACGCTCGATTCGTTAACACTTAGATACAAAAAGATTGTCACAATTTCGAAAAAAAAAAGATAGAAAACATAAAAACTTTATTGCCATATATACGACCCCTGTATCACCATCATAATCAATCCCTTCAGTCTGACTAAAGTAAAGATGGTGAAGCAGATTTGCTGGAGGAATATAATTCTAGTTGGTTCAAAACATGTATATTAAACAGTATTTTTTTCCTTTTTTTTGTCATAGTATGACAAGCCTCATAAAAAATGTTAATTGTGTGTTTTTGAGCATACCAATGCAAATTTTACGTTTCTTTGTAGTTTTTATTATAGATTATTACATACTTGTTTTAATTAAACCAGTCAAATGTAGAACAAAAATATGTTTCTGATTTTATAATTTTTATTTAAACTTTAACACTGATTAACTCCCGATCACTATTTTGTAGCTTATCATTATATAACAAAAAGCCCTTCAAATATATATTTTATTTTCTAGCACTATGGCTAAATAATACACCCTTAAAACAAACTCTTCCGGTTTAAAATCACCGTCTATAACCAGCATTAAGCAAACAATCTAAAAACCCGGCAACAACTCACCTAAACATCTGAATGGTTTCACCCATCTCGCTGTTTTACATTTTCCCCTCGTTTGAGCTCCCGTTGACGATCCAGCTCGACACCAAGCTCCGATCTTCAAGTAATGGCTGCTTTCTACGATGTTTGTTATGTCTCTCTTAGGATATACCTGCAAAGACAGAAAATTCGTTAAATGGCGAAGAAAAATGTACATGCTAACTTTTTCAATTTTATGTAAATATATTCTTGTGCATAAAAATCTCAAATGCGACAAAATTTTGTTTCCTTTTCAGTTACATTAAAAAATGAGGTTTTTACTAGGAAGCAGAAATGTATGCAGAGAATATCTAATTACAATGTTTTAATATACATTGACCGGCAGAATTATTCTGTTGAATTGCTAGTTCTATTATTAACTAAAGGGTGCTTTTTTAGAGGTGCATATTTACCTTTGAAATGGAATAAAATACAGATGATTTTTATAAATTGATATGAAATTGACTTTATTTAAAAGATAAACTTTTGGCATTGTAATTTAAATATGATTTCTGGCATATGACCTTCATGCCTGGCTCTGCCGTAATCTAATCTGAAGGTCCCATTTTCGATCACTTTTTCCAATAATTAACGCCGTATATCGACAATAACACAATTAATTTTATCCTACAAGTTGTCAATCGATTTATTTCTATCATTGTAGACTAGCACCTTTACATATCTCCACATAAAATAGTCTAGCAGCGTAAAATCATACCATCTTATCCTGCACATCATGGTTGTTCAATTGAGGAATGAAAAAGGCAGTAATCATGGTTCTATAGTGGTCACCATTGACTGTGACGTTCTGGCCAGCCCACCAAGCAGTCAGTTTTTCTGGATGTTCTGGTTTCTCAACATACATTTGAGGATTATCTTAACTCCAAATAGGGCAGTTTTGTTTGTGAACGTAGACTCTCATCGAATCTACGAATCTATGCTTTGCTGGGTGATGATGTACCTTCAATTTTTTACATGAGTTGGATTTTGTAAGCACGCAAAGTACCATATTTACGTAAAATCTTCCATAAAGTGGATGGACACGTATCCAATTACTGTGCACGATGGCAGATACTGATTCGGGTCTTCCTCTCTGCTACGATCTACAGCAGCAACAACTTCTTCTATACGCACTATACGACGTGTTTGTGGATGCCTGAGATGATACGGGCACAGCGGAGCAATGACAAGGCTGATCTCTTCGTACTTGGGCAACCGTAGTTTCAGAGTCCGGATAGGACAAGTCCTGTCCGAACTAGGGAAACCGGAAGCTGGAGTGCCACAGGGAGCGGTACTGTCACCTCTGCTGTACACGATAAACACAGCAGACATACCTAGAACACCAAGTACATTACTAAGTCTCTACGCCGACGACACAGCGATAGCGGCCAAACAGAGAAATGTAGACATAGCGGTCAACAATCTACAGACAGCGTTAGACGACATTGAAGAATGGAGTCTAAAGTGGAAAATTGCAATAAATTCAGACAAGACGCAAGCTGTACTTTTTAAAAAGAGGCTATAACAACCGGAAGAACAGGTAACTGTGCAAGACACTCCCATTGAGTGGAAAAGCGAAGCGAAATACCTCGGAGTAATAATGGATAAAGGACTAACTTTTAATAAACACGTAGAAGCTACGATACAAAAAGCCAACATGGCAAGAGCCACAATAAGAGGCCTAGCAGAAAGGAAAAGCAAACTTCGTATCAAAACCAAAATAAGACTAATAAACAGTATAGTCCTTCCTATACTGACCTACGCGTCACTTGCATGGGGACATATATGCAACACAACCAAAAAGAAAATACAGGCTCAACACAACAAAAGCTTAAGAGAAGCGGTAAACGTACCAAGATACGTAGCAGAAAGATTCCTTTTCAGAGAACTACAACAAATCAGAGTGACTGACACTATGAAGGAAAAGGCGAGGATAAAGTTCGCAGAATTAGAGAACCACCCAAGTCACATTCTACGAGAGACAATGAGGTATGACGCTTTCCACAGATGGAGGCACAAAAGACCTAAACAACAAATAGTAGATTAAAGTAAAACCAGAGAGAGAAACAAAAAAGCCCCCAGATGAACAAAAATCTACAAAAAGCCCAGAATAAGAAGAAACTCCAAATTCATAATACACACACAAGGAAGATAGTTCGTAGCTCAAATACCCCAGATTATCGCACATCGCCTCGTTCACAGTGGACCCAGCAGCTCAACTAGGATACAATCTGTATTATGGTATCGTATAATATTTATATATTTTCCTTATTATAATATAGATTATACACTAATTATGATTTTTTGTCCAGAGGTCACCTACAAAAAAAATTACAAAAAACACAAAAAACCGGCGTCGGCCACCAAAAAAATCAAAAAAATACTAACAAAAAACCGGCTTCGGCCACCAAAAAAACTAACAAAAACCCCAAAACCCGGGCAGGTAGTGCCCAACCCCCTTGAGCACCAAGTCGCCGAACTGAGCCGGGACTCAGAGCGGAGACTTGAGGCCCAAGTAAGCAATTTTAGTTCGCGTATAAGCCATATTAAGATAACAGGAACATAGCGGAGATGCGCTGTCCTGAGTTTTTGCATTCGGTTAGGAAACCATGTTCTATTACCCAGGACCTCCACATGAAGAGCATTTGGCTGATTGTTGTGCCTCTATAGCGAATCAGATTGCTATAGGGATGAAAGGGATGGTCTAGAGCATTGGAGCACGGTGGGGTGACTCCTGTTTTTACTCGAGTTAACACACCTTGCTCCAATGAATTGTTACACCCGATCGTACTACCTGGGTGAACATTTCTCATAGGCTGGGTTCAATCAAATTGCTTGCTTGCTGTGGATGCCTATCATCATTTAGAGTAAACGTGATGCAAAAACGTTCTATAGTTAATCGAATTACTTGCTCTGATGGACTATTAGGTTGACCATAAAATGGACGTAGTGCCAGATACGTATTTTGAACAAATCCACAATTTTCAAAATAAATTTGTACAATTTAAAAGCGTTGTTTACACGACTAGTATATTCACGCTAAAAGGCCAAACCAAACTTAACATAAATCACTTGACATCTGTCAAAATGGCCCACAGTTAAAAAAGTGTTACCAATTTACATTCATATACCTCTAAAAAAACACTTTTTACTTAACTTTAATTTCCACAGTCGAAATAATTTTTCTAATATTTTTGAAGCGCAATTCATTAATAATGTCAAGTTTTATAGAGAACATTGTACTATGCATCTAGAAGGCATGCATATTCTTTCTATCTAAAAGTTTGTACTTCTGCTAAACTGTAACATATTTTATCCCATTGGGCCTCATCAGATGGTAGGTAACGAACATTCACAAATGAAATATAGTCAAATTCACACTGAAAGTGCAGTACGGCTAAGATGGGGCAACGCTTTTCTTATGAAGAATAAACGCACAAGATTCTCGATCTTCGCTAGCTATTGATAGTTCACTTGAAAACGTCGTACAGGACCGGCTTGGATAAAATGCATCTTCCGGCAGTACGAGTATAATATTTTATGTTATGTATACGGTAGAATAAAAAACATTTTAAAATTAGTAATAATTAAATACTCCACGAAATATTTTCGTGGGTTGTAATGTTGCCATACAGCCCATAAAAACAACCATCTTGTTAAAACCACATGTCGTCTACATTAATATCATCCAATTTAGGCAGAAACAACTCTTTTATTATACTGCAATATAGATTATTTTCAAAGAAATACGGTCCAAATTCCGCACCAAATAGTGACACGTTGCAGATACATTTTTTTTCGACAGTTTCATATTGATTCTCGGAACTCCAAATGCAAAAATTTTGTCGATTAACAAAGAAATAAGGTGAAAATGTGCTTCACCAACTCGGATGATTTTGCTAGAAAAATCAGCATCCATTTGTTAATGTTCAATAATTTATTCAACGAACTCACTTCGCTATACATGGCCATTAGGCGTTAGTTCTTGTGCCAATTAAACTGTGTAAGCATAGTGATGCAGATCATCAGCGACTTATTTTTGGACGACCAGTGTGTTCATCATCATTTGATTCAATCTTCTTGAGTTTTTTTACAGTTAACAAAAGTTAAATCAATATTTCGAGACCATATTTTGTACAAAATGACACAAACCCTAAACTGTTAGTAGATAGGTAACCACTTTGGTACACCTGATCAAGACGTGTTCAAGGCCTAATCAAGATCTGTTCGAGACCTGATCAAGACCTGTTCGACACCTGATCGAGACCTGATCTAAAGCTGGATCGTTAATCTTCTTAAAACTTTTTTAAAATTTATTTTTTTATTATTTAATATACGCAATACTTTGTGGTGTTTTTTATATACACATATTATTGTCAGATTATGTTAAATGGCTACGTGGCTTAGCAGTAGGCGTGCTTAGCTTCAGTGTGGATGGTTAAGAGTTCGAGTCACCGTGAGGAAAGACTTATTTTGTTTAATGTTACTTGTAAATTGATTTATTTAAAATTAAAGTATAATTTAAAATGACTGGCGCTAACTAGCGGATAATAGTCAAACTATGACGTCCTTACGAGGCGGTGGCATGACCGGAACAGCTTGATCGCGGAGTAAGGACGAAGATGGATGGGGCTGTTGACGCCAGAGATCAAATGTCAAAGTGTGCAAAGTGGCTACCTATCTACTACTACTGTGAGCTGCCAAACTGTTTTTGTTTTTTTTCTTGCCAATACTTTACTGCAGAAATGGCGGAAAATTGAAATTTTCGTGAATGTTGAAACACCCTTTAGTACCACATACACGAATTTGGCATTTTTTTTAAAACACAAGTTTTTTAAAAATATGTCACAACTTTCTAAACATAATAATAGTATAAATGGACGTTCTTTAATTAGATTACCCAATTTTGTACTAATTAGTCGTTTTCTACTAATAATTAGTCTAAATTTAAATCTAAATAATTTTTCTCACTATAAATAGTAATGTCACGTAATATAAATTAATACTTCCATAGTCATTCAAAGATTACGGTACGACAGAGGTTTATCGGTAGATTATTAAATTAAAATATCTTTGAATTTTCTATCAAACCTCGACATCTTGGTTCAACACCTTCACACAGAAATAACTGACAGTATATATCGTGTTGCAAAGAGAGAATATTTCAACCCAATTTTATTGAGATGTTTTATCCGTGACGTGTTTCCAGTTGTACTCAAAAATTGCATCTGCAGTAAATCTTCTTTGAATATTTTATTCAAATATTCATTTTTGAAAAATGTGAGTTAAGATGCAATCTGCAGATTCAATACAGCACTTGAAAATTTCCTGTAAGATGATTTCCGTTAGATAAAGAATGTATTGAACGGATGCTTTAAATTCTGCCTTTGCATTCTGGATTTGGTCTCCGCCATATATATGGTAGGTAGCGCCTTGATTTTATAAAAGAAAATGTGACGTGGCTATTGTATGTAAGTTACATAAATCTTATCGAAAAGTAGGCTTTTGAAATAATTATAGATTCAATGTTACCAAAATGTACATCAGTTAATAATTAACAATAGATAAAATCTTGAATGTTTTTATCTGTTTCATCGACTACTGACGTACCTTCGATAACGAGTGATAGGTATAGATGGATGGATATAACTAATCTGAAATCTCTACAGTCACGGTTATATCCGGTACCTACGCTATTCAACATATAAGTTAAAATGTCAACTGCACACTTATTATTAACCTTCGGTATGCCTCTCATATGGTGGTATTTGTTTATTTTCGTACATTTTCTATGATGCTGCTTTTCGCAGAATAATTATGTTTCCGAAAAAAGACTACCAGCACTATCAGCAAAAGTTTGCAAGT